TCTGGAAACAAAAGGCAGGCAAGTCCACAAACAGAAAGCACTGCTTCACAATGGCTGACAGTGTGGTTCCTCACCCAGGAATTCCCCCCTGAAAAAAAGCTCTCTCCACCAGGCAGGCCTGTGACGCTCCGCTGGGACACCACCCACGGTCAGGAGAACCGTGTAGGTGTGTGTGTATATGTTCCAGGAATCCCCTCTGGGAACCCCCCTTGTTTGCGGTGCCCCATAAAGAGAAAAATGTAAATAAGGGAATCATTTAACCTGCCGTGGCTCTCCGGTGTTAAGCTTTTTAATCTGTTAATAATCATAGTCAGAACAAAGAGAAGACGACCCAACTCATCAAGAATAACGAGACCGCTGACAGGAAATAACAGCGACCGTACCTCAGCACACGACACATACCCCCTTCCCCCCTTCCCCGGGTTTACCAGTGAAAGATACTAATTATGCCTCCGGCAGGAGACGTGTGGACCCCCTTCAAAGCAGCTATTTAAAGATAAATACACTGCAGGCAAACACTTCAGGCCCCGCTGCACTGTTCATTCCCTGTTTTTCCTTTTGAAATTTTAGGTCATGATCGGAAAGGACAGAGCCTTGCCGAACTCAGCTGAAAGGTCTCTGATTTTTGTAAATCGCTAAAGCATTTTTAACCCTGAATAACTGGCAAGGATGTTTACATATAGACACTAATCCTAGTAGTATTAATGGGGGGGGGGGGATCTCTATCCTAAGGTTTTTGTTGAAAACACCTGATGGAGGTGTGGGGGAGAGGGCAGGGTCTCAGGCTCGCTGGACGTCCTGAATAAATAACCAACAATGAGGCTTACACACCTCCATCCTCGACGCACCTGGGTGGCTCAGTCGGTTAAGCTTCAGCTCATGATCTTGCAGTTCATGGGTTCGAGCCTGGCGTCCGGCACCGTGAGCCTGCTTCTGATTCTGTTTCTCCCTCTCTCTCTGCCCCTCCCTGGCTCGAGATTTATTCTCTTCCACCTTCTAAATTAGCACCAATACGATCACAGGTAATAATAGGGGACTAGAGGAAAGGAGGACCTGTAATCCTCGGCAACAAACATCACTTCCAGGTCTTTGATTGGACTCCTTCGTTATTTCTGCAGACAGACTTTCTTCCGTATGAATAATGCGCTTAAGGCTGATTTTTACCCCTACCAGTGCCCGCCGTCACCCACAGGCTGATGAGGTAAATGGGGACGCTCTACGAGGACCTGGACTATGGGGCTCCGTCTCTGTGGTTTGGAATCCGCACCCAAGAAGAGGGAATTAGAATGCAGGTATTCGAATGTGCGTCACATCCCTGAATGCCGACTCCCGAACAGAACGCGAGCCCAGGCAAAGCTTCACCGCGGATATGCATCAGCAGCAGCTGATACCAGAAAGTCAGAAATACGTCTAAATGTACACAAGGCATCTGATAAATGAGGAGGCGCCCACAAAATAGAACCGGTATTTATGGGATATGTTTAGGCAGGAAAACCAGACGGCGCCAATAACAATCAAACGCATTTCCTTTGGGAGAGAGGTTGGGTTCGCAGAGGTGGGGACGCACAGATCACATATGCACACAGAAGGCTTAGTCATATTTTCATCAGAGAGGTGGTGACCAGGGGTTGTCTCTGGGAGACCGGAAGGGAGGGGATTTTGGATTTACTCTTTTACCTTCCCCATCTTTTCTGCTGATATTCCCTAGAGAAACATCGATTACTTTCATGACCAAAGAAAGTTTACCATTGTGTTTTCTTCATTTCAAATATTAAGAAAATTACTGAAGTACCACCACAGCAGAGATCATCTATTTGACCCTTGTCTGCTTCAAAATAGGAAGTTTAATAGGTAATTAATTGCTCGAGCTAATTAATGATACACCCCACTTCCAGGACTATGAAGGTACCATATGGAATCACCTATTATTTGGGGACTTTGGAGCCAATTCAGGTAAAAGCACATCTGACTTCACAAAAACAGAATTTTTTTTTTTTTTAAATATAAAGCTAAAGAAGACTCAGCCTTTTAATACCTCATGTCGAAAATCTGTTAAGACAAAGAGAAGACGGCAATACTATGTGTCAATCTCTTACTCTTTATCAGCTAAAAACAAATAAGAAAACCTATTTAATTGCCTGGCTCAAAAACACAGGAATAAATTTCCAAGGTTCAGAGCATTTTTCCCCAAATTGTTTTAAATAACTCCTACATTTCATTTATCGAAACCTTTTGTTCCATCTGAGAACGCAAAGTAAATTGTGGCTATAAAGAGACATGGTTCTCTTTTATCTAGAGCCTTGAAACGTCAAAGCTGGGTAATGGGTAAGTTTTCCCCAGATGCAATTTACTTGAGCAATTACAGCAGGCCTCTCCAAGCAAGCAAGGTCCTTCTCCAAATCTCCCAAACCACAGAAGGTATTTTTGTAAGTGATGCACATATAGGTATGCATGGCACAAATTCCTCTCTAAAAATGAGTCACACCTACTGCACAGTAAAAACTTGCATAACTAAATTCAATTCTCAACAGAGCCATTTTCAGACATCGTAATGGAACAAGACCAGCGGATCCTTCCTTGAGTAAATATGAAGCCATGGCAGGGCGCCCATGTGGCTCTGTCGGTTGAGTGTCCAACTTCAGCTCAGATCATGATCTCCTAGTTTCTGAGTTCAAGCCCCACATCCCTGCTTGGGATTCTTCCTCTCTCTCTCTCTCCCTCTGCCCCTACCCTACTTGCACGCTCGCGCGCGCTCTCTCATAATAAACAAAAAAATAGTAACAGAAGGACAGCTGGCTGGCTCAGTCAGAACATGCGACTCAGTCTTGGGCTTGTGAGCCTGATGTTGTAGAGGGTAGACTGTACTTAAAAAAAAAAAAAGTTTTAATCTTTGAATAAAGACTCAAATATTTTTTTTTGAAAAGTAATAGATAAGGACACTGTGAATGAAATTAGAAATGGGGCATCAGGGTGGCTCAGTCAGTTGAGCATCTGACAGGTCAGCTCAGGTCATGATCTCATGTTTTGGGAGTTCGAGCCCTGCGTCAGGCTCTGTGCTCACAGCTCAGAGGCTGGAGCCTGCTTCGGGTTCTGTGTCTCCCCCTCTCACTCTGCCTCTCTCTCAAAACTAAATAAACATAAAAAAAAAAAAAATTTTTTTTTTGTTTTTTTTAAAGAAATGAGCCCACACAGGTGAAACAAACGAAACAGTGTTTGAGGAGAAATGGAATATGGACCTCCAGAGAACCTCCCAACAAAACAAAAATTACAAGGGCAGAAGAGATCACTTCACTGCAGAGAAGCCTGACAAACCCACCTTTATCGAGTGATTACTGTGAAAGGATAGACCTTCCGGAATTGTGTACCACTCGACAGGATGCAAGGAGAAGAATCACTTTTGGGACATTCCTGCCAGAAACACAAAATGCAAATCTAATGAGGAGACCCCAGACCACAGGAACGGAGCAGGGCCATTCTACAAAACAACCAGCCTGTAATCTTCAAGAGTCAAGGTCACGAAGCACAGGCTGAGGACCTGATACAGAGTAAGCAGGCAACAATTAAAGACAATGTTCAGCTGGGACCAGGATCCTCCCCTCTCTAGGGCACTTGAAGCCATCAGGGAGGAGGGCCTGGAAGATTAAATGGTAATAATGGATCGCTGCGAATGTCCTTATTTTCAGAAAATATGCACTAATGTGTTAAGGAGTGACGGGGCACAAGGTAGAAATTCTCACACAGTTTAAGAAAAAATTCTACTATACTTAAATCTTGCTGTAACTTATTTCAAAAAACACTAGTTTTTAAGTACATAACCCTGAACCGTAAGCCCTACCTCCACCAAATGACCAACAGCAACGACCATGTCCTCCTGGCGCCTGTCAAGTAACCTTATCAAAAAACCTCCATAATCACGGCTTTCTAGTCACACACTCTCCTGCAGCTACCAAGGCCCTAAGAAGTTCCCGAAGCTCCCAAGCAACCTTCTATGTTCTTCACCAATGAAGTCAGTTCCTGCAGTGACCTCTTTCCCAAATAAGGCCGTGTAAATCCCAACTCATCCTTCATTATGAAATTTTATCCTCAACCTTGCACTCTGTTAATCCACATATTTGGGCCACGATTGTCACCTTTACGTTCAGTTGACAAATAATGTGCAGGTTAGCTTGGGGCATCAACCCGCTAACATGGTAGGAACCCGTGTAGAACTTAGGACTCCCCCAAAACCTTAGCTACTAATAACCCACTGCTGACTGAAAGACTTTCCTATAGTGTAAACAGGCCATTAACACATATTTTCTATGCTGTATGCATTTTATCTTGTGGTCTTATAGGAAAGGAAGCTGGGGAAAACGTTATTAACAAAATCATAAGACCAAATATACTTACACTACGGTACTGTATTTACTGCAAAAAACACAAAAACAACAAAGGAAAAAAACAAACAAACACAAAAACACCATGGAGAAGTGGGCCCATGCTATTCAAGGGTCAACTGTACTTGGAAAATACTGATAGGATTCTTCCCAAAGGAGTACAGTGGAAAGTGTGAACCTCAGTCAATGTGGCCTGTGGCGGACTTTACAAAATATGACCAAAGGAGACTATCTCCACTCAAGACACCCCAACGAAAAAGAAGAAAAAAAAACAACATCAGTCACAGAACAAAACGCCATGTTGGCAAAGCACGCGTGTGGTGGAATGGCGGGGGTTCTGGAAAGGGGGATCCGGAAAAGTCAGGCTGTAACATTACAGCTGGAAACGACAAACTAGGAGATGGTGTTGAGAAGCCAAGAAAGGGGACTTAAGAGTCAAATAAATGAAGACAGAAGGAGAAATGTGAAGACTCAAGGCACACGTCACTTCAAACTGACCACCAAAAGCAGGCCAGCAAGCTGTCTACAACGCGGACCCCAGCTAACATCTACTGCTCGGAACAGGGTCTTCCTCTTTGTTGCAGTGGGGTGCTCCTTCCTGCCCGACGGGGAACCCGGTCTCACCTCGAAGGCAGAGAAAGGTAAGAAAATCTTCTGTCTTGGGCTTCCTTTTAGAGAGGTCAGAAATTTGAGTAGCTGGAGGGGGCAGCAACGGCTCCACGATCTTCACCGGGGTTGTGCTGGGACTGTTCGGCTGAGACTGAGCAAACTTCCTCTGTGCTTGCAGCCTGGGCCTGGAGAAGCAAAGGAAAATTAAAAATGAATTAGGCAGCGATCGGAGGACACAGATCTACGTGCGGCAGTAAGTCAAGACACGATAGGGGGAAAAAAGGACCCTAATTCAGGCAAACTCTTCCTAATTGAGGTTCTGTAGCTCTCACCTTCTCATAAACCACAGGATCGCTGTAAAGGGCAATAAATTTGGTTACAAGGCTAGGTGTTACACACGGATATAAAATGGGCGCCATGCGTGTGTACGTGTACAAGAACATGCCTGCCAGTGCACAAACCACGTGTGTGCCTGGGTATTTCCAACATCGTAGGTGGCATTTGAGGACACAGGATTTGTAGTTTTAAATTAAGCCCAGAGTAACGACAGAATCGCAAAGCCATCTTGCCACATGATGTATCAAGCAGGCACTGTATGCTTAAACATGATACAGTCACACATACACGATTACCTTCATATTGTGCCCTTATTTACACCCAGCCAGCCCCCCCAGCACCTGCCTGTGCACCACTGATCCCGTCTCACACCCTCAGAGCGCGGTCTCCTCACCCCCAATCTCTTCAGACCCCAATCCAGCCATGTCAATTCGTTACACTAATGGACGCTTGTCATGCAGGAAAAAAAATATTTCTCTAGTCCATCTGAAACACCAACAAATTCTGGGCACCCTCTGCCGATAGGTAAGTCCTAACTTCTCAGGGATTCCAAAAACTGGCCTTAATCTATGTGCCAGGCCTCTTCCCGACACAATCCTACGGAGATACTGATCCCTAGTTTATCCACGGTGTCTACAAATCACAGCACATATCTCCTGACTAGGCATCTTTCATTTACAAAATCTTACATGCAAGAAAGATACTCCTTCTAGCATGTGAATTCTAATGAGTCTTGGAAAGCCTCCTTTACTTCCTTCCTAACACTGTAGGCACCAGTTAATTGTTAATTTGCTTGCCTCCACGCATGAAAATGGCCATATTTTTATTTTATGTGTAACTAACCTGACATTTATCACAAATTACCTCATACGAGCGCTTCCTTCATTGTAGAGATCCCAGTTCACAATGGGGAGTGTCAGGCATCAGCTAGAGCAAGAACCTGCTTGTGTACTGCTTCGACCAACTAGCCAGCCCTGCTCAGAGAGATGCTCAAGAAACAGGATTTGAGGGGTGGTGCGGGTGGGGGGAAAGACCACCCTCCCCCCCCCCAAAAAAACAAAAAAACAGAAGAGACCAAAAAGCAGCCCAACGGCACAGGGATGGATCAGAATCCAAATCAGAACCAATCACTGTGTGGAACTGAAAATGCACCCCTCCCCACAAAGGCTGCTTGGAGAACAACAAAAAGAAACCAGGTATATTAGTAAAGCACAAATAAATCTTCCTTTACTTATTGTTGAAGTTACATAAAATAGTAATAATTGGGGCACCCGGGTGGCTCAGTTGGTTAAGCGTCTGACCTCACCTCAGGTCATGACCTCGTGGTTCATGAGTTTGAGCCCCGTGTCGGGCTGTGTGCTAACAGCTCGGAGCCTGGAGCCTGCTTCGGATTCTGTGTCTCCCTCTCTATCTGCCCCTTCCCCGCTCACTCTCTGTTTCTCCCTCTCAAAAATGAATGAACTTATTAAAAGGAAAAAACAAAAACCTTTTTAGTAAAAAAATAAATTTAAAAAATAGTAATAATTGTAGTCTACTAACCTAGCGATGCTCACAATACCTTCCCATGTTAAATCAACACTCTGGTATTTAACAAAATAGTCCAGCAAAATACACGCACACACACACCATGGTTTCTTACTTTGCCCAAAAAATTTCAACCACCTTGTGTACTGATGAGTCTCTACTCTGGCCTCCCTTCCCAACCCCGTGAGAAACACCACCAGATATATAGATGGCGTTCCCAGTAACGACTGACATTTGATCCAGAGGGAGAGGGTGCGACCACTTTTTACTTACTGGGCAACCTTCAGTCCGTGAAACCTACAGACATCAAGGCTAATCAAAACAACTGAGAACCCAGGAGTAACCAACATGAAACAGCCCCACAGACAAGCCATCAGCAGAAAGCCCAACACGTGTAACGAAAGTTCCCCAAAGACTAAAATGGTTAAGAAAATAGGGCAACACCACCATCCCCTGGTTATAGAGAAGGAAGCTTTTTTGTAACCAACCAACTGCCCGTATTTAAGACGTGACACACCAAAAGCATGTGCAAGGGTGAGCACTAAGCCCAGAGGAGGGTCCCTCGATGGGGGTGCTGAAGCTTAAGGACCAGATGTGGGGTGGAGAGACCACAGTGGTGCCTCCCAAACTGTGGGGAGGATCAAAGTTGTGAGTTCGGTGACTTTTTTCCCCCTTTAGTTTTATTGGTTGTAAATGGTTTTGTGTGTGTGTGTGTGTGTGTGTGTGTGTGTGTGTGTGTGTGTGTGTGTGTGTTTTAAATTTATTCATTTTGATAGCTAGGGAGCACAAGTGGGGGAGGGGCAGAGAGAGGGAGAGAGAGAATCCCAAGCAGGCTCCTCGCTCTCCGCACAGAGCCCGGTGTGGGGCTTGAACTCGCGAACTGTGATATCTGACCTGAGCCAAAACCAAGAGTCGGAAGCTTAACCGACTGAGCCACCCAGGCACCCCTACTGAAAGGATTTTTATAATAGGACTAGGTTGGGGTTAAAAAGTAAATTAAAAAGAAAATAATACTAAGGCAACTGGGCTCAAATTTATTATCAGATTCTACAGATATACAAGCAGGGTAACTGAAAGTCTCTCACTGCTCATCCTCAATTTCTGTATTCAACTCGCAGGGCCCGTGTAGCAGCACCCACAGCCAGCAGCGTGGGTATCAGAGGATGGGCCAGGCTGCCAACAACTAGCACATTCCAACAAGCCAGAAGCCCACAATGCAGGGTACGCTGACCCCAACGCAGCTAGCAGCCAGCTCTTCTGGCAACTTTCCCTCCCTGTTCAAAGAAAAAACCCAGTTCATCTTATTCCACCTGAAAAGGGTTTTTTTGTTTGTTTTTTCTATACTGGCAATTGTATTAACGTGTACCTCTTCATCTAAATGGACACAACTCACACTCTGGACATGAGAGAAAGGTCACAGAAATACCGCCTCCTGTGTGCACGCAGGATGCTGTTTAAGTCAGCAACAACAAATGTCACAAGGTGGTGCAGACCTAATGAAAATCCAACATGCAAATGCGGACAAGGCGCGTAGGACAAGAGCAGGACGCAGTGAAGTATTTTATAATTTCAGGACCTTAACGATAAACTGCTCCCGCCATCGTTCAAATAAAGCACTTGCTGCCTGATGACTTTCTCAGTGAGACCATGAAAAATAAAGCAGTTAACAGATTAA